ATAACATGATTGCGGTCCATTGTTGGCCAGAAGGGGAAACCGCAAATATAGTTAGTTACATCTCCTTTTAGCTCAAACAGTATTTGTGTATAGAAGCGGTTTAATTATTTATGCTCTGTACCACCGCGCCCCAGGAGTCATCCGTCTGGGTTTGGTCTGCTTCTGGATAAAATAAAATGACCAAACGGTCGTCTAACCAAAAGCAACTATGCATGTTGCCAAAAAACAAAATTATTAGTTGGTTAATTATTAATTTTGCGGTCTATCTTAATCTGAACAAAGGGATTAATCTTTACACTTTGATTACCACTGGAGTTATAAATTGTTAAGTTTATTGCTAGTAAAACTTTTGGCGTGAAAGGAATGTTTTGAACAATAGCTTCGATTATGGAAATCTTACAATAATATTAAGGAAATTTCAAATCATGCTATACAGATTGGGTTACAGGAAAAATAATTACTAGAGAAGAAATGAAAAGCGACTTAACAAATATAGTTTTGATTAGAACCAATAACCGAGTGCGGAACAATTCTATAAGTTTCTTTAAGTTGAAGGTTATTTTTTTAAACTTTATTAATAGTCTTACTATTTGGCATATTTAAAAGCTGTTTTGGAAAGTAAATACAATTAAATAAAGTTTACTTCTTTTTTCTTAATTCTAAATTATGATATCATATAAATATTTGAAGACCCGAAGTCCATCCGTAAGTGCCAATTTAAACGACCATGTCTTTGAACTTTGTGAAGGCGAAGTTTATAAATGGTTTGCTAATTTTTAATGATATAGTAATATGAAAACTGCTCCAATTTAAAAATAAAAAAATAAAAATAAATTAACTTAAATAAACTTCTGTTAAAAAATAAATAAAGAAGAAATAAAGAAATTAGTATATCTTTCGTTTACGTTCCCCTTTATCTTAAGAACGTTGCTATGTCATGATGTCGAATCTGCAAAGATATTGAAATTAGTCGACTACTCCGCAAACATAAATATATGTAACATATATCATGTTTTACATTTAATGTCACATTTAACTCATAATTATGTTTATGATGTCAGCACACTCCAACCTGCGCATGCTAACAAAACTAATTGCAGTTAGACTTGGCTTTTGTAAAGAAAAATGCTTTACATTTTAATGCTTTTCCGCTTTTCTAATTAAAAGCCTGTCTACCTACACATATCACATTCGCCGACGGAGCTCAACAAGGCGGTAGTGCTTGTATATATTTTCAAGCAAATAGGAAACACCAACGAATTTAATTTATATTCATATAGCTACCTAACATACACCTACAAGTTCCAGGGAACAACAGTTAATAAGCATACATATGCCAGGGATCTCGGTAGGGATACGAGTTAGATATAAAGCCAGGAACTGAGTAGCAGCGACACTACGAGATTTTTAATTACTCGTGCTCAACTTTCAAAACACTGAACGCAGGACTCAGGCAGGACGAGAGCTCATTTTGGAAATTTTCATAATTACTCGCCGCCCGACGACTTGTTAAGTCAAACAGAGAAAGGGAAAATCGGGTGATTGAGGGAGGCGGACGAGTGACAGAGAAAGTCGGTTGGGTTTCGTGGGCGACTGCGGACAAGGACTCGTTGGGTGGTGGCAACTGATTCACAGCACTCGCATGAACGGCGGCCAGGACTCAACGAAACTCGTGCACAGGTCCACTCACACAGCCTCACCCATCAGGGATATTTTCAGGTGTGTGTGGCTCCTTTCGAGCACTTGCCTGATATGGTAAGTGACTGGGCCAAGGGGGAGGAGTGGAGTAAAAGGGGACGGGCAGCACTGAGAGCAGAGCAGAGTTCCAGAGTGGCCGTGCACTTGAAACTAAAGGCTAAGTAGGCGCTTTTATTCAAACAGTCCCGCACAAATGCAACCCAACAAGTCGGCCTATTTGGGGACTGTGTGTGTGTGTGTGTGTGTGTGTGGATGCCAGTGTAGAGGTTGTGCCGTACACATCCGGGAAATATGTGAGTATCAGGCTTGATAGGTCTCGTTATACCTGGCAATGGTCTGGTTAAGTAATTAAAATATTTAATTTTGCTTTTTCGCATGCTTTCTACATATAGAAAAGATTCCTTTCCTTTTTTTGTAGGCATTAGGGTGAACCATGGCAAATTTGTGGCTTATATTATTTTTATAACACGGCTTATATGAGTAGTTATCAAAAGAAAACTGTACTGTGGACTTGACCATATTAATATAGAAGTAGATAAAACAGTTTAAACACGAGTTTAAATTGCAGAGAGCAAATAGATAACTACAAGATCCAATGTTCAAAATTCTAGGGTTTACAATTTGTACTGCTCTTTTTTAAGAGGTCCTCTTAAAACCACTTCCTATGTGGTTCCCATCACTTTTTATCTAAATTTCCTGTTGGGAATTCTTCTTTAATGCAACAGGTGACGAATATCTCAAAGAGTTTCCAGTGCAGCTTTCTTACTTGTAATTTTTCAAAATTCCTGGGCTACAATGATGAAATATTATTTTAATTAATAAAAACATATTAAACCAGTCAAAAGGACTTTTTGTTCTTGTTTTTTTAGGTTAGTTTAAAATAACAAGCTTTATCTTTGCATATATATTTGCAAATAATCATATAATGTCATATAATAAACCGGATATTAAATATCTTATAAAAATCATGTGAAATAATACTGCTCTTATTTTTTATTTTTAAAATTTTTGTTGTTATATTGAATAAAAAGAATTGATTTCAAAATTAATCAAAATCCAGTTCCTCTTAACCTTCTAAAATTGATTTAGTTCTTGATTTGAAAGCCATAAATTTATAGTATTTCTATCTGCTGTAACAACATTTTTGTTTTTCTAAGTGCATTTAAGTATATACATATATCTGTATCTACTTAGCAATATCTCGTTACTTTTTATATGACAGAGTCCTGCTTAAGCTCATAAGCTTGACAAATAAGTGCAAAAAGGCAAAATGAGGACTTACCGAGATTAATGGTGAAGGCCAAATAAAAAAGCACCCAACGAATGGGGGCAAGAGTATCCATACAAATTATTAAAACTGACCAAAGTCAACAATTTTTTTCTTAAAAATGACTTAAACTCAATGTTGATGTGTTAATTGATGAAACAAATTTACCTCTTCATTTCATTTCACACAGATTTAACGATCTTTCTCTTTTGTTGCTCTACCCTCTACAATGTAAATGGGGTAAAGCTAAAAGCATGCGAATTGTTTACACGAAATTTCCATTATGTTTACCTAGCCATGAGTATGAGATGAAGATATATGTGGGCTGAACTGAAAGCCAAAACAATGAAATTCCTTTTCCTTGCTAATGGGCTGCTCTCTAATCAGGAGCTGGTAATGGGAGTCTAAAACACATTTTCTCAATATCTGGTTAAGGCGGTGCACCTTAACCTTAACTTAAAAAAAACTCTGTGTGAGTTAAAAGAAAAACTAATTGTATAATTTCCATATAGCTCTTTAAACTGGCTCATACTGATACCAGGCTCTGAACATTTTAACTTGACATTCAACCAACGTTTAGCTCAACCAATTGTTCGGGCTTGGGGGTCAGAATTGAAGGTGTGGCCTGGCAAATGCAAATCCGTCTCTGGGTAGACCCAAAGTTTTCTGTTTTGCTCAAGTAACCAAACAAGCCCAGCACTGTAATTTATTGTGACCGAACCCGGGGATACCCTACTTAGACCTTTTCATCATGTGTCTTTTGCTCAGCCATATAACTTTTTTGCAGTCGACGGCGGGCTTGGTTTGGCTTATAAAAACAGCAAGCTGGGGCAGGAAACTCAGCAAGTCAGGAAGTCTGTCGACGTGAACGTCGTCATCGTCATCGTCATCATCAACATCATCCCTTCAGTCGTGGAGCCCCCAACGTTTTTGTTACAATGTCCTGGGCTATTTTGGTTGAATGGTCAGAAAAGTTGCAGACAACACAAACACAGCCAAGGCAACCAGAGCGAGCAGTAGGGACGGGAAAGAGAAGGAGGGAGCTAACTGGAAAGCTTTTTGTTTTTGGTTGATGGCAAAAAAGGAGCAGCTGAGCATTGGCCCACGTGTGTGATGTCCTGTTGCCTATTCTCTTGTTGGGGGCAGGAATAGCAATAACGAGCGGAAAATTAGCAAGAAAATAAATCGATATTTACTCGAAGTGCGTTAAGGTCCCTTATTAAAGATTTACTGTGCGAATTTAAGCGGCATCAGACGTTAGGTATCATATTTGGTAAATGTAGTGTACATTTTTATTGTAAACTCTAAGAGAAACATTTTAATATAAAAACATTTTAGAAATATGTAATTATAACTAATATTTGTAACTTCGATAAACACCAAGGCGGCTTTTTATTTAGTTTGGTGACGTTTTCTATTCGATACCAAAAGTTGTGTGCAGATAGCTTTAAATCTGACAGATTAGTTTGTCTAAATTGTATTGTAAAGTTCTAAATAAAATATTATAAGACTCGGCATAAATGGCTGCAGAATCGCTTCTTCCCAATGCTCTCCAATGCGAATGTGCTGGACAAGTCCTTGTTATGCTTAGGTCTTAACGAACATTTACACTATCGGTGTCAAAATCCGTCCCGTTCCACCTTATATACGAATGAGAGTATATAGAAGACTAACTTAAAAATGTTATTGAAATTGCTTCAAAACTGAGAGACTAGCTTGCGTAGAAACGAGCAGACGGACAGACGGACAGAAGGACAGACGGACATGGCTAGATCGACTATGCTGTTGATGCTGATCAAGAATATATATACTTTATATGGTCGGAGGTAACTCCTTCACTGCGTTGCAAACTTTTGACTGAGATTATAATACCCTGCAAGGGTAAAAAAAGCAATCCACAATTAATGAATAAAAACAAAAAAATCTATGATTTTTAATTTAATATATATATTTACTATATTTTTTATTTTATTACAATATATATAAATAACTAAGAAACAAAACCTAATAAAGATTTCTGTATATTTCTTTACAGATAAAATCGACGATTAAATTGGATTTACAAAGTGGTGTATTAAAGTCGTGAATAGTTTATAAAACCTAACTACTTTAGAGAAGAGATCATGTTGGCCTTTCATAACGAGCATATTGCCAGTAAGTATAAATATTAAAGAAAACCAACAACATTTTAACGAATTAAGATAAAAGGTAAAACAGCACATTCCACACCCAAATGGTAATATAAAATAGTGTATGCAAACAATAGTAATGTTATAAAATAGAAATTAGTAACTAATACATATAACTTTATAAGTTTTTCATCTTAAAACTCAGATGAAAATTGTTGGAACTTTATATGCAGTTCAGCACCCTAAAATCACAATTTCATGCATATCTTGAGTTTGCTACAAGAAATCATATACGAATGGCGACTCACATACATATCTACGATATTCTCTATACTACTTTCAATTACAATCCTTTTGAACCAACTAATTTTTTTAAACAGAACAAAGTAATACATTCTAATACATAACTAATGGCTAAAATGTTCATTGTGTACCTAAAAGCGATGTGGTGGGAGAACTAACTAAAACAGAGCCTCAAACAAATCAATTATTAAGCGAGCTCCTTTTAACGTTTGAAGATTACCCACTTACCTGGCCTTAAACATAAACTCCATCAAGGATAACAATTTCCTGTGTGATGGAAATGGTGGGCACCGAAGAATAACAGCCGCTCAAAGCTGCACTTAAGACATATAAACGAAGGCACCGCTCCTTTTGTGTATGCAGAAGGCAAGACGGTTTAATGGGCCCTACTCTCAATAATAGCATAACGCTTGGCGCTCACCATCAGCAGCCCTCGGAGGCGTATTTAGGTTTAAACACATAATAACTTAATACTTGAAAAGGAAGTAAAAACCACACAGTTGACGGGGTTGCTGTTAAACACGTGCTATTAATTATTTACCTGAAGGCCTTTGCAATTTTAGAGCGTTTAAGCTCTGTCCTGTTAATTCGGCTTTTGTTTCTCACAATTAAAGGTGTATAATTCAGTGAAGGCTAACAAGCCGGCATTTTGGTCAAACTCTTAGATTATTTATGATACTTTTGTAATAGGCCAACGGGGAAATGGCTAAGCTGGCTACACTTTCAAAACAGCTGTTCTCTCGAGAGAAAGTGAATCGATATCTTTCTCTCTCTCTCTCTCTCTCTCTTCTAAGCGCTCTTGAGAGAGCGTAGAAAATCTATTAAAACCGCCGGTATTTATTGATTTGATTAATACAAACAAATAAGGAAAATGTGTCATTTAAATGACCAATTGGAAAGCACAGTCAGAATCCTATTTATTAAAAATCTATTTTAACGGTTTTTTGGATTGAGATAATTGAGGCGCCGTTAGGGATCTACTATAGCCCGAGCCCATCAGCCACAATAGTAAACCAATCTCTTCTTTGAATAAGTCCTTTCGATAGGCATATCACTTTTTACGATCCTAAACTGATTTGTAATTCTGCATATACATATGTATGTCTTTGCCTTGCACACACTCTTGGTGCTCATGGTACACTTCCAGTAAGTATTCTTCGATAGATCTCCAAATTAATCACAATTATAAAATTGCAATTAAAACAAGAAAGGAAGCTAACTTCGGAACGTTGAAGTTTATATTACCTTGCAGATAGAACTTCGATGGCTAGGAATCAACACAATATAAATTATATATATTTATCTTAAAAAACAATGCAGTAATACCTGCTTTCATTTCATTCACCTATACATATTATATTTGCAGTTTTACATTCACAGATTTGCATTCTTCTCTACATCAAACGATCGTTTGTAAGACTAATATAAAATGATTGTCTAAAATTTATGAAAATCTTTTAAAAACTGAAATAGTTAAAATTTTTAAATGTATTAATTTCTCGATCGTTCCTATGGGAGCTTTATGGGAGTGTAGAGAGAAAATCCTTTGAAAACTGAAAATGTTATAATTTTTTTGTAAACATTTTCCGACCATTCCTATGGCAGCTATATGATATAGTCGTCCGATCCGGCTCGGTCCGACATATATACGATTGAGAGTATACAGAGTATACTACAAAGTTTCATTCAGTTAGCTTTAATACTGACTGAACGGACAGACGAACAGAAGGACAGTCGGACATGGCTTGATCGACTCGTTGATGCTGATGAAGAATATATATACTTTATATGGTCGAAGGTGCCTCCTTCACTGCGTTGCAAACTTCTGACTGAAATTATAATACTCTGCAAGGGTATGAAAATATACATTCAACTACAAACTGTGGGTTACTGAAGTTAACTTCTTTTTTTTTGTTAAAAATGATTTACGTCTTGAATCTCTGTGATAATACGTTGTTCATGAATATTATAGAAAGTGTATAAAAGGATCTTTTGTTTTTTGTTTACCATTAACTTTGGTTATTGTTTCTGCAAACCGCAAGCAAAGCGTAACCCTTGGCCTCTCCAAGGACCTGCGATGAATGGCGCCGGCCGACCACCTCCTGCGGTTAGTCGGTTGGTAAAAATGATTCATTAGCGTTCAAACTGAAAGTTGATATGCTGCAAATAAGATATGAAACCACATTTTTCCTTTTGAATGTGAAAAGTTTTGAACGGCAACTTGTAATATTACTTTTGCGGGACATTACGACAGCCCCATGAGTAACATTTTCACCAGAAAAGTGGTTTATGTGGGTTAATAAATTTAAAAAACTTAAGGAGAACTTCAAGGCAGCGCCAAGGTCTCTTTAGAGGTTCTAGCAATGAGATTCATCATTTAAATCACCAACCTGCGGATATAAAAAGAACAAGTTTTGTGTCGTAAAATTAATCATTCAAAAAATAATGTTAATTATAAAGTTGATTGCTTAAAATGTTATGCTTTTAAGACTGACGCTATGACTAGAACCATATATTAATAACATCAGTTTTGAAAACTTACTCCAACCTACAGATAATACAAATATATATCTATATAAAATATAATCTGGAAAGCAATTACAACAAAATCTCTACACTTTTACACGAAATGCCGAAATAATCTGTAGCTCTTCTATGTCACGCAACATAACACATACATATGTATGTACGTGAGTGCCAAAGTACGGGGGTGATTTTTAATTAATAAACTCATTAGGTACAGGTCTGGTCAACCTTTATTTTTTGCTGCTTCACCCTGTGAATTGCTCATTTTAATTACTGGCAGCTGGTATTCACCCCTTGCGATCACCCTTCCACCGCATTTGGTCCCCGTCCCTTGGAGCTGCACATAATTTCCTGGCATTTCAACAATGTGCCGACAATTTTTATGTTGTTAGGCGACGGTGACGCCAACAGTTGGCAGGTTGTTCGGTTGCTGCTGTTGCACCGTTTCCTATTGTTGTTGCTGCCGCTGCTGCTGCTGCTGCTGCTGCTGCTGCTGCTGCTGCTGGTCGCCTGTCGTTCAACTTTTGACGTGTTGCATGCTGTGGCCTTTTGAGCGGCCAGACAAAAGGCCACCGGAAAAGACAGGGAACAGGGTAGTCCGTCCCGCCTAAACGTGCGCGCGTTTTGGCTAAAAGTTAAATATAATTGTTGTTGTTGCAGTGGTTTAGCTGGAGCTAGGGGTTGGAGCTGGAGCTAGGGGACAGACAGTCGTTGAAACAGTATAGGCACGGGAGGCAGGAACACCCGGAGTTGGGGCATGACCACATGTCATAGCTCGGCTTGTATGTGTTGCTAAATCGGGTTTAGCCCTTCGTCCTTCCGGGAAATAGGTGCTAGTTGAGCAGTTAATGAGGACCACAGACAGGGTCCCTGCCGACCTGACAACACCTCAGAGCCACCACAACCAAACAAATGGAGGCAGGCAGGGCAGGCGGGGAAAATTACACGGATTTATGAAAATGGCCACAAAACTGTGCTAAACACGCTGACGCGTTCTACACGCAAACCATATTTGTGTTGTTTTTTTTCATTCCTGACGCTGTAACCATTTAGTGTGTAATGGAACAAATTATTTTAAACATAATTAAGTAATATTTTCATGATTGTTTTTCCAGGCTGCGCTTTTCTGACATACTTCAGTCCGGAGAGCTCCGCTACACCTGCAACATCGCCCACATCGACGGCCCAAACGTCGCTCTATAATGACAAGCAATCGATAACAGGGGTAAGTGCAAGATGTCCTTTTACGTAATTCCATTGCCATAAAGTAGTTAGACTTTTAATTTTTAAATGCTGCACATTGCCTGTCTATATAGATTGCCTTATAATTTGATATGATACCCAATCGAGTAAATTATTGTTGAAATTCAATTAAAAAACACAAAATTAAGCACACTAGCAAGTATTTTTAATTCCGCCAATTGTACAACAATTTTAACCTGCATGTACATAATTCATTATATTGCCCACGATTTCGTTGTTTGTAGAACTCATCGCCATTTACGCAAATTACACCTACAAAATGTATTGCTTTGGGACTTATCGGATTATTGCCATTAAATCAATATATATATTATTTTATTTAACCTTTGATTTATGTTTGTTACCGGTTTGCTTAATTAAGTTTTAGTTGTTGTAAATAAACATGTGTAAACGTGTAAATGCAATAGGTAAACATATGTTTTTCCTTGTTAAATATTCTCTTGCCAGATGGGAATTTTAATTTGAAAGCGGATATTTAGTTTGGTCGAGCAGAGTTTATGTAATATATTTTGTCAAAATTCATAACTTTTATTTAATCGAACATAAAACGACAAAACAATACTCACAAGGAGAGAAAACTAAACACAAATCGGCAAGAAAGAGTTTATTGAATATGCAAAATGTTGTGCAATGTTGGGGAAACAGATAGACGACACCACAACCCCAACGAGATAGATGGATAGATTGCCGGTCCATTCAATCCCATCCCATCTTCTGCCTCATCTTTTTGTTTTCATCGTTTCTTTGTTTTTACCCTAACAAACACTCGGAGGGAAATTTGTGGCTGTTTTTGTGTAGAAATTTATTACATTTTCTTAGCCTAGGCCCGGCAGGGTTGCAGGAAAGAGTTTTTCTTTTCACTCGAGTTTCGTTCAGAACTTTTAGCCCTGTCTAGTCCTTTTCTATCCAAGTGCACTGCCAATGACTTTCTGTGTGGCAAAAAGTTGGCTCTTGCTTGCTGCATGTGTGCTACTTATTAAAACTTGAGGAAGAGACAGAGGAATTTTACCTTTGTTCTCGGCCTCTGCTCCATTGTTTACCAGAGAGAAAGAGACGATAGAACGGATACCATTTTCCTGTTGCATAATAAAGAGACGTTTTATTAAATCGGGAGGGGTCATTCCCTAACAAACACTTTGCTTCTGCTCCTTTAATTAAATTATCGAGTGCCCCCATAAAAGAGAAGCATCCCTCATTCAACAAATTTGTATTCCAATTCAACTATGACTACTTTTACGCAGAAAATATAGTAATCATCCCCCCTGGGCGATATGACTTTCAGTTTTCTTTTTGAGCCTCTTTTGGAAAGTTTTCCTTTTTGTTTTGCGAAAACGAAATACGATGGCTTGCAAAAGGGGAAACAGTATAAAATGTAAATAAAAATTCAAGCTGTGTTTGGTCCTGCAAATGGTTAAAACAGCGCTCAACTTTCGTGGCACCTGGCAGTTACATTTTATCTGAATCTTATGCGCCGTGTTTTTGTACATATTCAAATTTCCCATGCGAGTAGGTGGCAGCGTGGTCGGGATTTCAGTGGCAAAAGTAGTTCCTTTTTTGTATGAAAGCATAAAATGTCCATAACCATATATTTACTGGAAAATATCCTATGATTATAGGTTGTTTGTCTAATAGTTCCAATTTTAATCAGAAAAAATTATAGTTTAAAAGTTTAAGTTCGATCTGTCTGTCGCAAAACTACATATGTACATACATATCTGAATAAATCTTTTCAATAGTCTTCGTTACATCACTGACAGTATACGATGGAATTGATAGAACACTATATTTTAAAGCTGTCATAGGCACATTGTTAGTAAAAATAAATCGAAACTAGCTAAGTTATTATACATTTTAAAGGAAAAATAAATCGGTATCTGAAAACTGTAAATTTTAAGTAATAAAATGTGTGGATAACTGATGGAATATAGGTATTTAATATGATTTTAAAAGAAAGTATTAAATTTGATTAAAATTGAATTGTTATTAAATCAAACAAATGACAACTTCTGTTAGTTTCTCTATTATTTGACGAATAAATTGGATCAATTTCAAACTGAAACTATATAAACACTACGACGGTGCAAAAATTTACTTTCTTTTGCGTTTGTGTTCAATAAGCTTCAATATTAAGTTGACATTTTATGAAATGTACATACAAGATATCAATAAATTTATTTTATTGAGTTCATATCACCTCAAAATAATAAGATCCCTTTTAAAGCATACTCTTCTTATGCAAACTAAACTGAAAGTCATTGAACATAAAAAATGTACATTTGTGCAATGCTTGAATTTTAATATGATTTTTATTTCTGTTTTCCTTTTTTTCATTTAAAGTAAAACATGTTAAAATTATTATATATCGTAATACTCATAGTTTTGTTTTGTTTTTACCAAAACGCAAACTCGTAACCGATAAACATTGTTAATTCTAAAACTGTCTCTAAACTTCTTTTCTCATTTGAATGAAAACACTTGTGCTCATAACTAGATTAAGTCACCTAGAGATGCTGATCAAGAGATGAATACTTGCTGCCTATTAGATAAATTATCTGTTGGCACTAATTTATATTACCATTGTTACTCATGGGTACCGGATACAAATACACAAAAAAAGAAAAATGAGGGAAATAGGACAAAAAAGGATTTAACCGCAGCTTGCAATTAATCACGTTCGCCCCCTGATGTAGCACAATTCATGAATGAATGGATTTTGTGGCTAGTTGTGAAACTTGTGGAAAATCAACGACTTGTACATGTTCTTACTTAAGTTTAAGACTAGGATATATCCTAAATATTATTATATTAGTCTTTTTGGTTAGTCTTTCGCTGCAACTTAATTCAAAAAACTTTCAAAGGAACTAAATATTTTTAGCTATTGATCTTTAACATAGTCCGGGGAAAGGGTATTGTAAAAGTCAATAAAGTCATTTTGCCCCACCTTTTTGAGTTTTTTCTCTCTCTTATTCACCTTAACTTAGGGCCAGTAACATAAAGAAGCCAAAAATTTGTGTTGTTATTCCAGACAAACGCTGACCATGGCCAGGCCTTAGCCGGTCCGAACCGCAACTAACTGAGCCAGAAGCCGTGCTTTTGGTATCGGCCCTGAAGCCGGTTTTGGCTATACGCTTCAGTTTGGCAATTTATCTGGCCCCATCTGCATTTGTTGACTTTGCGCCGGCGATTGGACCGCAGTGTACACTATTGTCCCGCTTTGCATAAGAGCTAACGAACTAGGTTTTTTCGGCATTCTTGGACTCTGTAGGATCCGTCTGGACGTGGCCATGTTCTAGAGAGTGTTCGTGGAATAGGAGCTCTGAGCTCGCCGTTCGCTTCATTGGCATATCAATCAACGGCCAAAAGCGGGAAACGAATTCACTTACTCACACCAATGGATGCCATGGTAGGTAGGTAGGTTCGTTGCTGGGCAAGCGAAAGGCAAGCATTTTGGGGCCGCTCAGGATTTTTTCTGCCTCGGCCGGATGCCATTTTAATTAAGTGTTGGCGGATGCCAAAAAAAAAAAAAGAAATGGGAAAAAACGAGACTAGGACGACAGCAACTCTGGAAAAGCCCGGCCAAAGGAAGTGAGAGAGAGTGTGCATGCCTCGTGTTCCGGCCAAGAGGAATTTAAGATAACAAAAAAATATTGCCACATTATATGTTGAAGTGGACAGGAGATTTCTGCTGGATATTTCACGCCCTTCTGCGGCTGACACTTTTATTATTATTTCGAAAAATCAGTTAATTAATTAAGGTATCTAGAAGTGCCTGATACATAGAGATATTTGCCTGAATCAGTTTGGTTTTCTTTTGATAGTTATTTTAAAAACTGTGGCTATCTAAAGTATTCTTTGAAATAAAGAAACTTTTCATAGTTCTAGGTGCAACAAAAAAGGAAGTTCATTTTAGCACTTGAGTGTTTGTATAGTTTGTAGTGGGAAAACAAACCCTTAGATGATAGAAATCGTAAATGTTATGCATAAATGTTTAAAACTAACGAAGTATTATTTAATATTTTTATTGTTATGAAATAATGACTGATACTAATAATAGAAAGGTTGAATTCATATAGCTAAAAATGAAAAGACTAGTTTACGAAGAAACGGGCAGATGGGCATCGCTAGATCGACTCGACTGTTGATGCTGATCACTCTGGTCATAAGATATACATATATGTACATATGTATTGGACAGTTTTAATTTAATTGTATTCGATGATCAACATTTATTAGAAAGCAACAGAACAAGTTTCAAAACAATAGGTGTTAAGTTAGGTTAAGGAAGCGTATTTTCTGCCATTATTAGATGTCTTAAAAACTACGATTGCTTCCTTTCTTTATATTTATTAATTTAATTAAGAATGAATGCTTTTTCACATATTCCTGCATGGTATTTATAATGCGAATCCCAATAGAAATTACATACATTTAGTTAATTTTATGTATAATGTATTAAAATATGGCAAGGTAAGTGCAATAAACAAACTTGTATCGGAATGTTGAGTGTCTCACAGTCTATAATCAAAGTCTTGAATTTTTCAGGGAATGTAAAGAGATCGATTATTTACGGAAAGTAAAGAAATCAAGTTGAATCGACTTGGACAAATTTCGAGGGCGATCCTAAGTTACTTTTAAGAATTAATGTTGTTATTGACTTCAATATATTGATGTTTTTCTATATTCGATGTTGTTGTTGTTGATGTTGTTTCTACTTCTCTATTGCTAATACTACATATTCATAAGCCTCCTTTATACCGCAAGAACACTTTCGTTAATCATGATTTGATTTGATTTTAACCATATCTATAATCTATCGATGTTGTGATCCCCTGCTCATTGGTGTTGTTGGTTTGGCATTATTAAACATTCATATTATTTATTATCTGTGTGGCGGCCTTTGCTGCTCATATTGCTGGGTCATATTTCATTTTGTGTTCTCTCTTGAAAATCTCATCAATTCTCTTGCAGATTGCCCATCCCTGCGGCGCTGTAAGCGTGCGGCGCATGCGCTTGCAGCAACATCCAGCCCGGCAACAGCAACATGCGCCGCAGCGGCAATCCTTCGGTTTTCCATACCCACGCCTGGCTCTGACCCAGCGCCTGCAGCTGCAACGCCATCAGCAGCAGCACTCACACCCAAATCAGCGGGATTTTGGCAAAACCCAGGCCATTTGCTAACAGCAATTTTATTCCGTTGCCAGCGAAGCATATGCAATGCCGGCAACTACTTCAGCGCCAGCAACAACATCATCAACAACATCATTAAGAAACTCAACATCAACCAATCGAGGAACATTGTCAAGTGCAACAGATCACCTGCTGCAGTCGCGAAAACTGCGAAGGCAACTGAAACAAGAGTCGAGCACAATTAGTCCGAGCAAATTGGTAGGTGACTCACAGTCCAAACCAAAACTTATAGCCTAAATCTCCGAAACAATCCAGTATACTAATACCAAAACTATCTTTGTTAGGCAGAATCAATTAGAGTTAAAATATGTAGGAAAATCTAACTCTTTTTTGCTATTCTCTACTTTGATTTAACAAACTTACATGCGGTACTTTATTTTTACATAAATGCTGCCTTTAAGAGGCTCATAAGTGCAAGAATATATTGAGTTTGATGCACCAAATCATTCAATCTTTAAAAATGATTTAAGCTCTTAACCATTTCTAAAGTTATAGCAATTTGGATATTGCACCTACTCTTGCAATGGTTTTCCTTTTTTGATTTTCTCAAAACCACGATTTTTAATGGTCAATATCTTCAGTTCTACTTAACCGATTTGGTTTTATCTTGTACCACATGTTTGTAAAATTATTCTATATATCGCATTTTAGGATTAAATAAAATTGTTGAATTTATTAGGAAACTGCTATTAGGAATATCATTAGTCTTGTCCGTCAGTTTTTCTGTCCCTCTATATTAATATCTAATACCGTCCATAAAAGTAGAAAAAAACATTATTTTCCGTTTCTGATTTTACCGTCAAATTGCCTGATATTTATAAGTTAAGTCACTAGTTTGTCACTAGACAAACCTATCGCACAAATTTCTAATACCTTTAAAACGCTTCTGATCATCTGAAGATAGTGAAGTTTGGTTGGTTATTGCAAATCTTTCGTATATTTCTGCTTCTGCTTCTGAAAATAAGGTATTCGTCGGAGTCGGAAAAGTTTTTTCAGGGAGTCTGGGTCTAGGTTTTCTCACCTTCAATAGACAATTTAGTCGAGACAATATCTAACTCCGAAAATGTAGACATGGGGAGTAAAAGCCTGTCATTAATCATCAAAGAACGCGTGTCTCTTTTAATTATGCAATACAAGTTGTGCTGTTTATCTCACAGTCAAAGCATTTATCTTACTAAAAAAAATGTTTAAGAAACTCATCAATGCATAGTAAGCAACATATTTATTATCATTACAATATTTTCGTTATATTTATTTATTTTGAGTAAAGTTCGATGAGGAGATACGTACATTCTCAGGTATCTTGGCTTACGGTCTTGATAATAACCCAAAAGTCTCGGCAGGCATTTCCGTTCCCATTTCATGATGGCAGATATTTCAAAAACATTTAATGCCTTAATACAACACACCCGGAGTGATGGGGCCTCGTTTCCAATGGCTCTGTTTGTGAGGCTCAAAGTGGGTGTTTAGGTGTGTGCTGCTCTCGTCATCATTTCCATCAGGCTGTATAGTTTTTAAAATTTCAAATTTATGCAAATTTATCCAGAGTCTCGACGGCAGACGAGCACACGGCATTTTGCTCATGAATATTTGTGCCGGCCCAAAACACAGGAATGCCCGTACGCTGTCAACCGCCCACTCAGACACGAATGTATGTACATACATTTGTACATCCATATGTACATACATATATAGGCCCCAGTGAAATTGTGCTTTCCTCCCACTCTGTTTCGATACGGAGGACCTGCTCCTCCTCCTCGCCGCTTGACTGGCATGTGTGAGAGGCATACGTCGTCCTTTTTGTATTGCCGTCAATCATCAATCAATTTTTTCAGCAGATGTGCGATTCCCTCCCGTTACTTCATCATGCTTATGGACGCGTCGTATTCGAGCCAGAAATATCGAAGGGCGCCCTCACCTAGGCGCTCCCTTTGCCTTTAGGAAGGCCATGCCAATTTAGCTGTTCGAAAATCCCTCTACACACCTGTGACTCCCAGTGCTTCACCAGGAGGAGGCATAATTCAGGTTGCTCAGTCGCGTTTAAATGTACATCACGTAAATTCCGAGGAATACGCTTCTGTGCTCCCTTCTGTCCATCTCTCGGGTTTCCAAATATATACATATGGGTGTGGGTTCATTACCCAATACCCTGTCCGGCAGTAGTTCTTGACTGAATAGCTTAATAATCTTTAAGAACTTGAGGCATTAAGCGCTATTTCTTCCTGTTGGAAATTAAATTAAAGAAACATTATAATTTCTTCTAAATAATGCACCTTCCTTTCAAAAACAATCGATTCGAAAAGTTCCCACATCATTAACAGCTGACAGCCCTTGCTGTATAATTCTGACATTTTTGGAAAGAAGATCCCGAGGCGCAAAATGGGCAGATATGCATAACCAATAAAGCATTTCTTACCCTCTCCAGATTAGACGTAAACATAAACCGAACAACAAATAAATGGTGAAACCATATACACACGTTTGGGACTGAGAAGGTGGGATTTCTGGCACAAGGCCAATACTTGAGGCGTCCGCACGGTCTTTTCATACAACGAAACAAACACGTCACGAACCGGGCTGGGAATAAATAAGGACTGAAGAGCAAAAAAGTTCTTAAGTATTTTGTATTGTTTTCAATTGTTTGTCGGCAGCTGAGCAATAATATGATATTGATGAGAATGTACACGGAATCCTTAACGCTTCATGTGATAAAAACGTCTGAACCCTTTGCACCCAGTCCTTGTAGAGGGAAAGGTTAATGGTAGGAATCCTTTGGACTATATCTAACTTGGGGTTTTAAATATATTTCATTCATTTGTATATCATATATATATATTTTTTTAAGTGCTTCAATTGTACAACATTTCTCATACACTTTTTCGAGTCATGAACCGTGGTATATATTGTTTTATTTATTCTATTTCCGTTCCCTTACTTCCATGAAGTTATTTTGTAGTCAAGGTACGAATATTTACCTGTATACAGATTGAATTTAAAGAGCAAGTCGCCTAAAGTGTATGTACATAAAACGGAGGGAGTGCTGTCGTAAGCTGAGTCATTTATTTATTTATGAGAAACTCACAAGCAAGCAGGAGCACACAGACCGGAAGCGTTGTTGTTGGGGCAATCCATTTACGTACCTCTTCTACATTTTCGTCCTCGACTCTAGTGTAGTGGTTAATTAATTTTACACCGTTTATCGCTGCGTTTCACGGACATTCACGTGGCTTAAGTCAAACAAATCAATCACTGTGGGATGTTGGGTGAAAAGATGGCGCCAGTGGTTGGTGGCCAATTAGCAAAGCATACACAACACAGCTGCTGCTTTAGCATGGCGACAAGACGACGCCGTCGGACTCACAGGACATCCACAGGATAATGTCAGGGCGGTAAGCCGTTAAGACAGATGGATGAAGTGGCAAACATAGCAGACCATTGCGATGGCGTCGACTGCCAACTGACAATTACAAATCAGTAGTCATTGGTTATTGCTCCCAAGCACACACATTATAGGCGCAATGGACTTAACAGACTAGGTTTACTTTTCGAGAAAATACTTTAAAACCAAGTCAAGTTAGGTCATTCTTTATTTATAAATAATTATCAATGCTTTTACCAACTTGCTTAGAAACTATTTGGTGTACAGAAGGAAGAGTGCCTTAGATATCTTAATTTAATATTAGTTTTTTGTTTAGGATCTAGAACAAGTAATGTGTCATATATTTATATAGGGCACAAATACGATTAGGTCCCATGGAATAATTAACTTTACAATGAAATATATAACGTATATACAAAAAAATATATAAATATTATCTTGATATGCATAATCAGTCGAGTCAATCTAGCAATATTATTGTAATAAATTCTCCGGATACATATTTTTTAAAGAAATCTTTCTTTGGCATCAACGTCTATAAAGAAGATCAAATGTTATGGTACATTGATAATAATTCTTTAAAATATGCCTACTTCGATTGTTTTCTTTTAAATGTTGTCCATATAGAATATATAATACAGACATATTTATAATACAAAATTATTATCCGTCTTAGGTGCTAGGATTTCAATATTATTTTTTATGTTTTCATTTCTACAAATATTTTCTTCTTTGTGTACTTTTGTTCCGTTCATTTACAAAGAAATTTGTAAGGCATTGCTTTTTTAGTAGACCTTTCCTAAGCGGACCAATCATCTATTATTATGTAAATAAAATATATACACATATTTTCCAGTTATTTGTATCACAAGTAATAATATGGAAAAGGAGTATGCTTTCCAAAGTTCGAACCACTGTAATTCGGATATTGACAAATATTCAAAGCGGAGGCACAGCACAATTGCCCGAGTAAGATTGCCTGCAGTTTGTGTTAAATCAGCAACAATTGTTTGCATTGGAAGCCGGTCTCGTTCTGTTTCATGATGCCTTCCTTGAGGCTTTGGCGTCGTTGTGGCTCGGCTTCAACTAAGGATTTGGATTGGGATTGGGCCTTGGCCAGCCGCCAGACGAGGAAGATTAAAATTTATATAGCAAACCTATCGAGGCAGATGCTGCAGACAGCAGCACATTGAAACCCTCGCAAAATTTTCGGTATTTAGTATAGTTCTCTAGACCGTTTCCTTCAAAAGTAAAAAAATAATTTAAAAAAACTGGGTTAAGCATGAAATGTGCTGCGTGGCTGCCAATAAGCTTCCATTCAGCCATTTGTCAGCTTTGACCATCACGACAAAAAATAAAAAAAAGATAGCGGTTATAGCCAAAATAGAGTATTTTCCTTCCTTCCTGTTTCCAAATGGTTGCCGCCAATGGCTTCCAATTGGGTTAAGTGTTTTGGCATTCAATCAATGTTCGTTATTCCAACTTCCCCCTCCGAGCAATCGCCACATAATTATACCGTTTTCCGACTGTTTGTTTTTCAACATACACACCATACTATACACATATATAACCACGTCTGGGGCTTGTGCCAAATCAACAGTTGGCAGGGCAA